AAATTTAGGTAAAACTACGAACAAAATTACTTAGAAATTATGATTGAAAGGTTAAAAGAACGTAGATTAAACTTATTAGTAAGAACTATTATTAAAATTACTGCAAAAATCTTTGATTAAAATTTCTAAAAAGTTATTGTTAAAATTTCTGATTAACTTTCATTGAAATTAATAAAAACTGTGATAAATATTCCTAAAAATATGGTTGAAATTACTTAAAAAAGGGTCAAATGAAAGATGTGTTAGTTTTTTTCATTCATCTTTAAAAACTTATACACATTCTGCCTCAGAATGTTCTGAGAATATCCTTTGTTGATTGTCGCAATTTCTCAAAAAGTTACAAAGAATGAATTTGCTAACCTCATTACATATTAAAGTAACGCATAACAATAAATTAGGCAACGAGAAATGAAGAGTTGAAATTCAAAACCTGTGGTTCGCCATCAGGTGTTGCTAAGATTGTGCATGATGTTTATTGTCACTGTAAAAAAGAACTTAAATCACTGCGATTTATGAACTTTTCATTGCGAGTTTTTTCCTGATTGTTAGGTCTTCTTTTCATGAAAATAATAGTTTTAATCTTAGGCCTTTTGATTCCAGTTAAGTGAGAGAGATATATGAGTGCAATCTTAGCATACTTTATGGCACTTATTAGGTTTTGAATTGCCGCTCTTCGAATGTAACCGCTCACCTGATCAGAGATCTCAGTCGACAAAAACTCAAACATCGGTTGTTTTATCATAGGGCGCGGTATTCTAGGGAACTTTTTGGAACAAGAAACGCCCGAAACTGTCGAGCGAAACAGGAACTAAGTGGTTTGAACTTTGCAGTTCAAAGATACGTATTTTCGAGAATATGCCATTTCAAATTCTAATCTGCAACGTTCAAGGTTGCTGTGTTGGCGGATTATATTGCATCTTAACGCCCTCTCTTAGTACAAAAATGATATAAGCTGCTCGTAACTTATTCTTAAGGACACCGTAAAGATTTTTTCAAAGGAAATTAATGGACATCCGATTTTCCGACAAAAGTAACGCAACAACAATTGCTCTAATGGAATTTTTCCTTTTGAAACTAAAATCCCTCTTCCGTAGACGACGGTTATATTCCGTCGTCTCTCTTACGAAAACACGTAACCGCAAATCGATAATTCAAAATTTCCCATCGCATACTTGTATTTTTCTTCAAAAAAGTCTTAAGCATTTCTACAGGAATATTTCAGTAAATTTATTTCTGATCACACACACAAAATGGCAACACTTTCGACAGAAATCGTTTTGTCAAATTCTAGTGAAAAATTAAAAAGTTTTTGGCGATTTTGCAACTGTGGAATAGAGATGCATTTATTTGCCTGAGGAAAGATATCCTGCGGGGACCTCAAAGGGACCTCAATCCAAAAAAACTCAATGCGTTATTAATACCGCAGTAAAAATTAGTGTTCTACAAGAACTTTTTACTAGGGTATGCCCAAAAATTTCGAACCAAACAAAAGTTACGATGTTTTGAAGATTTTGGTCCAGAAAACGTAATTTCAAGGGAAAATGTATGCCTAAATTTTCCAATATGCCACGTTCAGGGTAAAAAATTTCCGAATTATAGTTCACTTTATGACCAGTACTGGTCGGAAAAAACTAATCGCAACTAATTTTCCCTCATACACAGAGAGACCTGCGTCAAAATGTCAAATCCAACTTTTCGACCCAACTTGATAAAAATCGCGGTACTTAAAAGTCCACCACTCACTAAAGTTTCTTTCCCAACAGACGGTCACAAATACAGTTGCTCTACTTCTCGTCAGAGCAGGGCGATTGAAAATTAGGCGTATTCTAACACGGAGGACCTAATAGATTATGCAGGGTTATGTTTGGCCACTAACCAACTTTCATGCCCGCATTCGAGTAATCCGTCGTCAACATTAGCCATTACTTACGTGCGTCGCCAACCTGACCTAGCGAGCGCCGCCGTAAAACTTGGCGAAATTCCTCCTCCGAAAACTCGGAAATCCTATCGGTTTGGCAACACGGCGCGAACGTAACGCGAGCGATGGACGGTGAGTTCCGATGGGGCGATGAAATAACTGCCGGCATCATCGGTGATGTGATTCCCGATGCACACAACACACAACACGCCTGCGCTCACGCAAAACAGCGTAACTGCAATAGGATTTAGCTGGATGATGCGTGGTTTTTGATGGGTGAGCGCGGCGCACCTGTGGTCGCCAGTCCAACGTCCGTCGTCCGGTTTCCGGCCCAGTTCCCATTTTAATTAAGATCCTCTCGATTACGTAACGCCTCCTACGTCACCGTGATACGTCCCCTTCCCCCTTTTTTCACACTGCGCTGGACATCGGACCCCTGCGGACCGATTACTGAAACTGATAGATAAAGCGATAGACAAAGACGACAAAAGGGATTTGGAGGGATCCTATTGGTGGAAACGGGTTGTTGCAATGGACAAAGGAGGTAGGTAATCGACTAAGTAACGGCAACCCACGAGAAACCCGACAGTTAGTCTATCATTTTCCCCCTTAGTCGATGAGAACCACCCATTTCAACCAATAGAATTGCTTTATACCCCCTATGTCATCTTTGTCTATCGCTTCGTCTATCAGTTTCAATAATCGCCCCGCTGACGAGGTGTCCCGAACCACGAAAGTTTCGAGCGAACTGCGGACTTATCTTTGAAATTGATAGACAAAACGAAGGACATAAAAGACATAGGGAATATGGTGTGATTCTGTTGGTTGAAGCGGGTGGTTGCAATGGACAAATGAGGTAAGTAATACCGGCGCCGTGCTAAGAAGGAACGCCGTATGAACATTCCAGAGTTGCCGAGTCTCCCCGGTTAAAAATTGTATTTTTTATGGAATTCATGCATTTTTTCCTTAAAATTTTCAGATATTTTACATTGGATTGCGGACAAAATTGTCTGAAAATATTTGGAGAAAAACATTCACAATTTTTCCAGCAAATTCTCTTTTTATTGAGGGAAATTTGGCGACACATGAGGTTTCATACGGCGTTTATCCTTAGTACGTCTAACGGCAACCCCTGAGAGACCATACAGTTAGTCCATCATTTTTCCCCTTATTTTATGAAAACTATCCGTTTCAACCAACAGGATCACTTTATGCTCCCTAAGTCTTATTCGTCTATCGCTTTGTCTACCGTGCAGAAGAGAGAGGAGGTTAATCTGTTCTTAAAGTATGTACTGATCATTTTTTGACGTATCACCTGTGATTTGCTGCGCGATGGGTCTATTGCACGCAAGAGATGCAGTTGTGTGAACAGACGATATGGGGTAGAACGCCACGTGCACAAAAATCAAGATAATCACATTAAAAGTACGAAATTCACACCTTCGTGTGGTGTGTGGTATTATAGCGTATTTTTCAAGTTTCTCGCGTCTGGGAGTCGCTATCTAGTTGTCGCGACGTATCGTAGCTTGAATCCAAATACGGTGACTGGAAACTACCCCCAAATGCGAGTATTTCAAAGTTATCCGCAAATTGCGCGCTACGGGGTGGATTTCAGAATTTTTAAGGTGACAATCGTGATTTTCGCGCCATTTACCGATTTTACTTGGCTGCATTTATTTCGTGCAACACGTCGCTACAGTGGCGATAGGACGCATTCCGAATCCCACATGAATCCTAGACAACGTAGATTTAAATGTAAAAGAGGGCTCCCGTGTCAACTAGGATACACTTCTACGTCAAAAGGGTGACGAACAGACTCATTGAAACGCAGCAGCACTACAATTCTTGATTTCTAGTGACGAGCTAAATGTAAAAAGTTGGGTCTCTATTAACTATGATCTGTTAAAATGTATCATCTTCGATCGCAAAAACTTGCACCCGGTTTTACTAGGTGCATTTAAATTTCGCTCTTTAAAACGCATTCAACAGTCAGATCCGATCGACTCTGATTCACCACTCCACGCAGCATACCTTTCGTGCTCGTAAGGAAGCGTCACCTCTCAACGAGAGTGGGAGGGGTGAGGGCGGCAACGCCACTACATTTCAGCACACCTTCGTAAACGATAAATTATTCAAAAACCCTAGGCCCGAATTCAATTGTCGAATATAATGCCGGGGGAGGGGGGGGGGGCGTTCAAGTGCTTTACGAAAGTGGCGCCCCAACCGCTGTTACGTCACTCGTCGGGGCAACAATTTATAGCCGGGCCGGTCCCCGCCCGGGGCCCAGCCCCCCCCCCTCCACCCCCCCGCCCGCCGCGGCTCGAGTGTACTTTCTCCGCGCGTCTGCGATCGAGCTTGCCTGGACTTTCTATGCACCAGCCCCCCCGAGCCTCATTGTTGTCGCTCCGACGGAAATCACCGCGTTTTCGAAGAAATTTTGCAACGGTGGGTAAAAAATTGAGAGGAGCCTGGCTCCTCTTTAAAAACGCTCATGTGCACCTAAAGCGCCTTAATTTTCAAAAATTTCCTTGATAGCCCTAAGCCTCTCTCGGAGCTGAGAGAGTCCCTTTGAGCCCCCTGTGGTCGAATGCCTCTCTATCAGGGGTGCAACCTCGATTTGTGCATGCCGTGGGGAATTCTGTAAGGCAATGAGAAAATTTTCCGGAGGAAATAATGCTCTTCCTTTTGTTCCGGCAAAATATGAGGAAAAATAAAAAAGCCGTGATTTTTTAAAAAAAAATTGCTAAACAGACACTTTTGGCGGTTTCGCGGAGTAAGGACATGCATTAGGAGTGAGGACATTTTGTGGCTGAGATTGCGACTGTAACTTCTGCCCTGAAGACCTTTTGGCACCTCTGAAAGTCCCTCAGACCCGTTGAATAAGGTGTTCTTTTTACCCTTCCCCCACGAAAGAATCCTAATCCTGCCTCTTAGTTACGCGAAAACGATCCCAATCCCCTAATACCTCCGATTGGCCGCTGGCTCTGGCGTAACCAGAAATATTTTAAAAAGGTCTGCTGGGAAAATTTTGTCATGAAGAGGAGTTTTAGGGTGAAAAAGGGAGAAAATTGCAGAAAATTACCTTCTTTCGGAAAAAATTGGGGTCATGGGGGCGGAGGAGCTCTGAAGCCACACACACATTCTCATGAAAACTCCCACAGGCAGCGCAGTAAGATCCGGATAGGCAAGAGAATCATCTATGGTAAGATCCAATAATCTGCTGGAGTTGGCAATCATAGTAAGGCGTCACCTTCTCTGCAACAAAAAAGCATGAAAAATTAAAAATGGCTCCTTTCTTAAAGTATCTATAATTAGAGAAACATGCAAATTTTCAGTAAAATTTGATTTAAGGGAACACAATTTCATAATACCCTCAAAGTCAACGCAAATCTGATTGATAACGTCTAACAGAACTGTCGAGCGTCAAAGAAAATTTTAAAAAAACAATTTGTGGGCGAGAAATCAAATTTTACAAAAAAAATCGTTCAACCTTTCAAGTGCTACGGAATTTTTTTCAACAAGCTTTGCCAATTCTGCTACTAATTTCAGTGATATGGATACTCGCGACGACCCACGACGAGCCGCAAATTGACCACTTTTATTCTAATCTCACTTTCGCTCAACTGCATACGAGGTTCGCCGTTCACCATAATCGGTTCCCCCGCTGTAATCGCTATCAATCACACCGTCAATACATCATCAGAATTTCGCTCGCAATATGGCAACCCCGCAGAGCCCTCGTGCATCGAGCTGCGCATGCGCCCCGTGCCAACCTGGCCCCTTTGCCGGATTTTCGACTTTCATTCGTGAACAAATGCATTATTCACTATTTTCGGGGGGAAATCGGCATCACCGCACCGGCTCCTGACTCTGAGTCTACAACGGACCGGCTACTCACACCCACCCGTCCCCCCCCCCCCCCCCCCCCCCCTCCCCCCGGGGGGCCGATTTGAGGTCAATACATTCGAGTGGGCATACGTAATAATTATAACCCAGATCGATATTATCGGCAAGGTAACATACCGGGTTGCCGGCTGGGCTCGTTTCCGTGAAAATCTGGCTGAAAAAGCTCGTATCCGGTGGGATAAAAGATAAAAGCAGGGTCTCACGCGCTGACTTTGATTGGCAGTTGCCTAAATTTTTGGAATCGGTTGGCGAGTGTACCAATGCAGGAAGAGAGGAGTGTTTCTGTCTTGATCTTCGTCCTGCAGCAAAAAAAAAAAAAAAAAAAAAAAAAAACTGAGCGACTTGGGATCTGCGCATTTTAGTCTGTCATGAAGCTCTTGCGGTCCAAACTTGACAAAAAAGATGCCGACGTGCCAGAGCTCTAAAAAGGATAAAAAAGAAATAAAAGTTTTAACTTCTGAAATGAGTTCTATCTAAACAATTCTTAGATGCATATTTTTGTCGAGAGTGACATATTTTCTGTGGGTATGATCCGTATCTTCTCGGAAAATACGAACTCCTCTAGGTAGGGTTTGTTTGCATTCACTCCTGCAGGTCCCCATGTACAGAAGTCCCACAAAAGGCTTTTTAATAACTGGTGAATCAATCGGACGAGGGCACAGACATTGCAATACTTTCCATGAATATAATTTGCGGTTTTAGCCCCCTAAGTTGCTTGTGCATGTCGCGGGGTGATCTTTTGAGCATTGAGCGGCGTTAGGTTGCACCCGCCAGTGGTGCAGAATTTTCGCAAGAACCAACGACCAATTAGTCGTTTGCGAATTGCGTACGCAGTGCAAAAATTTCATAGGTTACGACGTCGAAAAATGGATGATATAAACATTATTACGTTTTGATCAAAATACGCTCCAGTTTTGGGCACACCCTCCGAAGTTGGTTACACGCGTTGCCCTACGCATTTCCAAATAGCGTGCGCATCCAGGAACTTAGCGCAATTCGCGAGTCAAGATCCGAGAATGAGACTATAGAGTATAGGAAAGTTGGATGGTGCGAAACGATTGATACAACTATTTTGACTTCAAAAAGACGAAATTGCGTGTCCAAAAAATGAAGGAGATGGCGGTACTCTTTTCGGCTGACTCAGAGACTTCAACGCATGGGTAGAAAAGTTGGATAGGGCGAAAAACGTGATTCAACTATTTCGACTTTAAAAGGAGGAAATTGCATATCCACGAAATGAAGGAGAAGGTGGAACTCATTTTAGCTGACTCAGAGACTTCAACGCACGGGTAGAAAAGTTGGATAAAGCAAAATCCGTGACAGGATAATTTTGGCTTCCGAATAGGTAAAAAGCCAACTTTCAAGAGTTGCAATAGCTGAGTAAAAAATTGAGTATCTCAATGCACGTGCATTCGAAGTTGAATTTCACGGATCACACAGTAGACGCGACAAAAATGTCTTGACTGTTGAAAAAAAAGAGAGAGAGATTAACACACTTCTTCGCGGTACATAGGAAGTTGATCGAGCTCCACCATTTCGTAGTTCCTCCCATAACTGAATATTGCCAGGGAGAAGGTCACGGTTGAGTGAAACTTCCTCTGTAATGTGGAAAGAGGGAACTTGAAGATTCCTTTCTTTTCACTGTGCAAAAGTTACTACAGTGTCTTAGTTTTCAAGTAACCAAATTCTTTCGAGCCAAATTGGCGCATTTTCAACCAAATTTTAGTATGTTTCGATGCACTACTTCGATGGCTAAGGTGCGAAACCACTTAGGTACCTCCGTTTGGGACGCTGCAGACTTCCTGTTACACTTTATTCTTTCTTGGAAAAGTACATAGTCAATGTGATTTTTTAAAACAAATCCTTAATTGTTCATCTCTGCAAGCCGAATATTCTGTATAAATGTCAAGCTAAAAAGTTAACTTATTTCTCATAGAAAAATTAAATGAGAGCAGAAATGTTGAAACACCGCAATGGAGTTACGTGATTTTACATTTCAGCCATTGACTTGTTTCTTGTGCGGAATCAATGGTCGATTTGGCTTACGTTGATTTCAGTTTTTTCTAGAAATGAGAGGTCTAAATAAACAAATTTTACAGTCAATTAGCGCTTTTGATCAGGCTGATTTTTGTAATTGATAGATGAAACGATAGACAAAAAAGACATAGAGAGTATAGAGCGATCCTATTGGTTGAATCGAATGGTGCTTACAGACTAAGGAGGAAAATGATGGACTAACTGTAGGATCTCCTCTCTCTTGTCGGTTGCCGTGAGTTAGTCTGATACCTACCTCCTTCGAGTCCTTTGTCCATTGCAACCACTCGCTTCCACCAAAAGGATCGTACCATAGTGCCTCTATCTTTTATGTCTATCGCTATGTCTATCAATTTCAATAATCAGCCCGCTGACCGCTCCAGTGATGTAACCCCTGGAGGAAACGCATGCTGTGACACTTCAATTCACTCCCTGTCCAGCGGTCCATTCTTCTTCCCGAGAGTTCATCTACTCGCCCTGCACGTAGATGCAAATCAGAACTATATCGGCAACTTCTCATTATCGAGCAGTGAATAGAGCCGAAGAATAGAACCTCCCGATCGGAGCCCGTCTATTTAGTCCGATCGGACGATAGACGTTAATTAAATACCTCGAAAAAGCCACGTCGCGCCGCGCCGCTCGTTACAACTTCCGTAAGTTCCCGACGTATAGGTATCGCTCCGCCTTCCCCCTGTTCACGTGTTGTGCTAAGGTTTTAAATTGTAGCCCGGAATGAGGGAGGCACTCATTTTAAAAATATTATCTAAGAGATAGGAGTCCGTCGCTTGGAACCTCCATCAGGCTCCGTCTTTCACTCGCCTAGTGCCCTCGTTCTAAGGAAAAACGCCGTATAAACCTTCGGACGTTGCCAAATTCCCTTCGATAAACACTGAATTTACTGAGAATAATTGTGAATTAATAACCTCAAATTTTTCAGATAATTTTGTTCGCAGCTTGATCTATAATATCTGAATATTTCGTGAAAAATTATGCATCAATTTCCTTAAAATTACACGTCTTATTCGGGGCGATTTGGCAACTCTCAAATGTTCATACGGCGTTTTTCCTTAGTACGATAGTGAGTGCCCTCGTGTATGCACCGAACGAATTTCATCGGCGTCAACCGTGCTTTTGAATGACCATTACGCGGTGTTCTATATAACGGCGAGCGAGTGTTACGTGAAGCCTATTCCATAAAGTAGATGAGGAATCAGATTAAAAATTAATTATCGAAAAGCATTTACAGCGACCTCCTCCTCTTACTTTTTGTTCCCATCTGCGTGATTCGTAACACGTTATTTCACGTTTCCCGCGTCTGCGAGCAGTTTTTCTCGCTCACCGCCGACCAGGTTTTCACGGGCAGAGAAGTAAGAAAAACTATCCTGAAATAACAAACGAGTTCATCAGCTTTTTCTGTTATATGATTTCAATCGTTTTCAAGCGTTTCTTCCCATTTTCTTCCTTCATTTTGGAAAGAAAACTTTGAATTTATTGCAATCATACGCAAGGAGCGTTTATAGCAATTCGAGAGATTGTTTGTTTACTTACGTTAGGTCTCTCTCCGGGCAAACCTAACTGCCAGCCATCGAGGAAGATTGCCCGCAAAAGCGGTAAATTTGAAAAAAATGTGTTACAAACTACGCAGATAGTGCGCTAAGGGGTCGATTTCAACATAGTGCGCTAAGGGGTGGATTTCAACATTTTCGCGGATGTGACTAACGTGATTTTTATGCGAAATTACGCTAAGAAAGTATATCTAGTTGGCTGCATCTATTGCGTGCATTGGACCCACTGGATTACAATTTGCAATAAAAAGATACATTTTTGGCTCATTTTAGAAACACCTTATGTGCCATTGGTTTCTCTATGCAGATAGATGCTTTTGCGGATGGGTCAGAAATTTTAGTTCCAAATTAGTTCCTGCACTGGGGGAAAAAAAACACATTGGATCTTGAATCCAGACTCCTGAAAAATTGACAAGAAAAAGGACTCTTGATTCAATCAGATTTAAGCTTGAATCAAAAGGAAATCTGCTCAAATTAAGAGGCTTGGTTCTTGATTTAAACTTAAATCTGATTGAATCTAGAGTATTTTTTCTTGTCGATGTTTTTAAGAGTCTGGACTCTAGATCCAATGTGTTTTTTTTTTTTTTTTTTTTTTTTTTTTTTTTTTTTTTTTTTTTCCCAGTGTGATATGCGACAGACCCATTGTATTCTGAGGAAATTTTGGTTAAGGGACATTTATTAGGTTGCTTAAATTCGTACATTAACCACTGGTTTATTGACGAAGTTCAAGTTTTACGGTCTCAACG